TAGCAGTTATTTTTTTAGTATAAATACAATTTAAATTTCAAATAAATAAATAATTTATATTGAAAGAATTTTAAGCAAAGTATGATTTTTAGTATATGGAGTTTATATATAAGAACTTTGTAAAATAGAAATATTGTTTTTATTAAAATAATATTTCAAAATACTTTTTAGAAATATAGAGCAAAATTCTTACTAAAATCATTTGACAAAATTTCTTTTAGAAAATCAGTTCATTTAAAATTTATAAACAAGATGTTTATATAATAGTAGAATGAACAAAAACATGTTTGATGCTTAATAATATTTAAGGGGTAAACAGATTCTATCTGTTGACCAGCCTCGCACCCCTTCGTCATCTATTAGGCTGGCGCAGATGTATTTTTAATACATTGTTTCCAGTTTAGGATGTTGAACGCTGGATCTTCTTGACTCGATTCATGGGTTTTGCTTGTGTCTCTGTTTTTATGACTAGGCAACTCATTCTATTATCTCCAAATGAGGGTACAGCTCTAAAACTCAGTTTTATGGTTCTGAGGCCGGCTGGTAGTCAGGTTTCCCGAACTCTGTGGTAGCTCTCAGAGAGGCTGATTCCATCAACAGCTGAAAAATATCAGAGTACTAACAGTGCCATGTTGCGCATGGATGGTGTCCCTGTTTGTACTTTTGGTGTGCATTGCCAAGGCCACATTGGAGCCCTTTGTTACGGCTTAGGGTTTATTAGTGGAAATGAGGCAATTGCTTAGCTATAGAACAGTGTACTGAGTACTATCTATGTTTCAAGTCAAGTTCTTTAACAAATTTAAAAATGAATAAAGTAACAAAAACTATAAAACACAAAAAACCACAGTCATCACCAAGTTCGCTAAACCTATCATTCACCAATATTCTTTTGTCTTTCTCAATCCCTAACTCAAATAGTCAACTTTCCAACTCGCTTTCCAGACAACCCGAATCATTTACCTTCTCTACTCGACTTATGTCTTGTTTCTGATCCTAGTGTTCAGTTTCTTCACACTCACCCTTAGGTGCGTCTGACCATGGTTTGGTCTCTCTAAAACTATTATCTCATTCTTCTTTACCTTTAGAATCCCCCTATCATCGTACATCTTACAACTACCTTAAAGCTGACTGCGACTCTTTACGTGACTTTCTTCGTGATGGCCCCTGGGTAGAAATCTTTCGTCTCCCTGTTGACAAATGTGCTTCTTACATAACTTCGTGGATTCAGGCTGGCATGGAATCCTTTATTCCCTCTCGACGATTCCAGGTCAAGCCTCACTCTTCTCCATGGTTTTCCTCACATTGTGCTGCTGCAATTGCCAATCGAAACCATTACTTCCATATCTATCAGCAAAACAATTCTCCAAAAAACAGACGTCTGTTTATTACTGCTAGGAACCATTGTAAAAAGGTTTTGTCTAATGCCAAAACCCGCTATTCTCAGATGATGAAATCTCGTATTTCATCACAAAAATTAGGCTCTCTTGACTTCTGGAGAATCTTTAATAGTATCAATAATAAGGGCAAGTCTGTAATTCCACCTCTTTTGTACGGTTCAGACTTTGTCACCTCACCTAAAGACAAAGCTGAATTGTTTGCCAAGAACTTTTCATCAATATCATCTCTTGATGCCACTAGTTGCGTTCTACCTGATATACCCGTCAAACAGGTCGATCCATTGCTCGACATTCGTATCACTCCAGCTTCTGTATCTAAAGTGATTTCCTGCTTAGACTCTTCTACAGCTTGCGGCCCGGACAACATACCTGTTATAGTCTTGCAGAAGTGTTCTCTGGAGCTGTCGTCTATCTTTTCAAAACTATTCAACAAGTGCTTATCAGAGTCTTGTTTTCCAGCCTGCTGGAAAGCAGCATCTGTTATTTTTTTAAAAATTCTGGAGAGCGATCTGATTCATCTAACTACCGTCCCATTAGTCTTCTTCCTATCATAAGCAAGGTTTTTGAATCTTTAATTAACAAACACTTAATCTCTCATCTCCAATCTCATAACCTACTTTCTAATTATCAGTATGGATTTCGATCTTCTCATTCTACGGCTGATTTGCTATCAGTAATAACCGATAGGTTTTATCGCGCATTAGATAAAGGTGGAGAGGTTAAGGCCATTGCTCTTAATATTTCTAAAGCGTTTGATAAAGTTTGGCATGCTGGTCTCCTCCATAAGCTTTCCTCTTATGGTGTATCTGGAAACATCTTTAAGATTATTGAATCCTTCTTTTCCAATTGTAGTATAAAAGTTGTCCTTGATGGACAGCACTCTTCTTCTTATTCTGTAACCTCAGGGGTTCCCCAAGGTTCAATCTTTGGCCCTATACTCTTTTTAATTTACATTAACGATCTTCCAGATATTCTCACATCTAAGGTGGCATTGTTCGCAGATGATACTACCATTTATTCTTGTCACGATAAGAAGCCAATTCCCTCTGATTGCTTGCAGGGGGCATCTGAGCTTGAAAAGGATCTCACTTCTGCTACAGCATGGGGCTCGCAGTGGCTGGTGAACTTTAATTCAGATATAACTCAATTTTTTTCAGCCAATCGTTATCGCAATAATTTAGACCTTCCTATATTTATGAACGGTAATGTACTTGATGAGTCTCCTACTCTTCATCTTCTAGGATTAACTCTTACTTCTGATCTTTCTTGGAAACCTTATATCAAATCCGTTGCAAAATTAGCATCTGCTAAATTTGCTTCTCTTTGTCAAGCTCGTCACTTTCTTACTCTGGATTCTATTCTCTATCTCTATAAATCTCAAATTTGGCCTTGTATGGAATACTGTTGCCATATCTGGGGCGGATCTTCTAATGATGCCCTTTCTCTTTTAGACAAGGTGCAAAAACGCATTGTAAACATAGTTGGACCTGCTCTTGCAGCCAACCTTCAATCTCTGTCACATCGTCGTAATGTTGCTTCTCTTTCTCTTTTCTACAAATACTATAATGGGCACTGCTTTAAAGAGCTAGCGTCTCTTGTGCCATCTACTAAAATTCATTCTATTGTTACTCGTCATTCAATTAAGTCTCATCCTTTTTCTGTTACTGTTCCTAAGTGCTCCAAAAACTCTTATTCGTCTAGATTTTTTCCTCGAACATCAGTTCTTTGGAATTCGCTTCCTTCATCTTGCTTTCCTGATTTATATAATTTGCAATATTTTAAGTCGTCTGTTAATCGTTATCTTGCTCTACAATCTTCATCTTTTCTCTTCCAGTAACTTCCAACACTAATTAGTGGTTGCTTGCAACCTTATTGGAAGCGAAGATAATTAAAAAAAAAAAAATATGAAAAAAAGTTGAGATAATATTAGATTATGAATTGAATGGTCATAATCTTGAAATTACTGAGAAAAAAAGTGATTTAGATGTATGGTAAACACAATCGACCTGTAATGAAAATAACATTGCATCAGTAAATAATAAAGCTGACCATTTTTTAGCCTTTATTAAAAAAATGTTTAGTAATGTGAAAAAATGATAATCCTTTGTAGACCTTACTTGAATTCTGTGTCTGTCTAATATCCATTTTTAAAAGGTGGCCATAAAAATTTATTTACTCTTTGCTGCATTTATGGATTTATAAATCTATTTGCACCTTATGCTATCTCTTTAAATAAAATAATCAGTCAATTTGTGTAATGGTTTTAAAAAAAGTTTTAAAAATCTAAAAATAAGTTATATATTTCTAATCTTTTAAATGTTTTTTCAAAATACACGAAAAGTAATTGTGTTGATCGAGGAAGAAAATTAGTTGTGTTGAACGCGTGAAAAGTAATTGTGTTGAATGAATGAAAAGTATTTGTGTTGAACGCATAAAAAGTAATTGTGTTGAATACGTGAAAAGTAATTGTATTGAACGCCTGAAAAGTAATTGTGTTGAACATGTGAAAAGTAATTGTATTGAACATGTAAAAAGTAATGGTGTTGAACGTGTGAAAAGTAATTGTGTTGAACGCGTGAAAAGTAATTTTGTTGAACTTGTGAAAAGTAATTGTGTTGATCAAAGAAAAAAATTTAATTATTTTTTTTATAAGCCAACACAAAAATGTTGGCAGAAAAACAAGATTTTTTAAAAAAAGACTTTTTTACTTTCTATATTCTACATGCTAACTAAACATGAGAATTTTATTCAAGAAGGTATTATCTAGATATGAAGGAGTTTTATTGTGGCAAAAATAAATTTTTATATTTTTCTTTTTTTAAAAAAAAATGATTTAGATTTAAAATCAAAATAAAAAACTGAAAAAAAAGAAAAGAATAAAAACTGAAAACTTTGTCATCAATTCTTAACAAATAGAGTCTTACCGATGTGAAATGTCTGATTCCATCATTAAGAACGAAAAATCTATATATTTTTATATCTTTACATTTTAATGAATATCTGTATATTTTTAATCTCTCTCTATATTTTTTGTATGTTTATGTATGTACAGTGTGTGTGTGTATATATATATATATATATATATATATATATATATATATATATATATATATATATATATATATATATATATATATATATATATATATATATATATGTATATATATATATATATATATATATATATATATATATATATATATATATATATATATATATATATATATATATATATATATATATATATATATATATATATATATATATATATATATATATATATATATATATATATATATATATATATATATAAATATATATATATAAAAGGGTGTCCCAACCATCCCCTACTTTCTAAAAAAAGATCTGTTCATATTCTTAAAACTTTCTATTGGTTCTTGCAAGCTATTTGGTTAAATTTTTTCAAAATTTTATTGGATCCAGGGGGAACACAAGACACTTGGACACTTACTGAATCCCTAATATTATTAAAAAAAAAAATTATTCAAAGTATGTCATGTTGGGTCTCAAAAGAAGCAAAATTATATAAAAATTTCAAAAAAAAGAAATCATTTTTTAAAAAAATTATTTGTTTTTTATTTTTTTGAGGATTATCAAAAAAATACACTTTTTTCAGCAGTGAACTTTAAAATAATAATTTTTTTACTTTAAAATATTAGAGACCCGGTAAGTGTTCAAGGATCTGTGTTCAACAAGGGTCTTGTGACCAATAAATTCAATTAAATTTCAAAAAAATTTAACAGAGAGGCGTGTGAGAACCAATAGAAAGTTTATATATATATATATATATATATATATATATATATATATATATATATATATATATATATATATATATATATATATATATATATATATATATATATATATATATATATATATATATACACTACCGACAAAAAGTTTGAGGCAGGGTAAAAATTTATGATTTTGAGATGTAAATACCCTTAAATTGTTTATTTTTTCGACTTCAATGAGTGTATTTATGTTTTAATTTATGATTCTAATATATCACTAGTAGATTAGAACTGTTTATAATATTTTAATCAACAAGGGATAGCTGATAAAGATTTGTGCCGCTGTAATAAAGAATAAAGGAGGATATTTTGACGAATCAAAAATTTAATTAAAATAACAATTATAATTAAGAATTTATAATAAAAAAATGTTTAATGTTTATTAGTTTTTGTATTCATTATCATTAAAGTACAAATCATATTAGAAAAAGTTTATTTATTTAGCAATTTTAAAAAATTTAGTACCTGCCTCAAACTTTTTGTCGGTAGTGTATATATATATATATATATATATATATATATATATATATATATATATATATATATATATATATATATATATATATATATATATATATATATATATACTCACACATTTTCTGTCCCTGACAACTGGGTATTTCAGGATTATGTCAGATTGCTAATCTAAACTCACAATATAAGTTTTATATATGTGTGTGTGTGTGTGTAAATTTTAATAAATTTATTAATTTGCTTCATAGTTGCTTGATGATCTACCTGTTCAGCGAGTTACTATAGACAAAGGAAAGAGTGGACTTGGATTAAGCATATGCTCTGCCAAGGTAAACAAAATTTTTGTGATATGATATTTTTTTAAAGTTAATGTAGTTAAAGATTTTTCTTATCTAACATACTTAATAACTCGCACACATTTTTAAGTTTTTATATAGTCACAATTTTAAGTCTTAGATAACTAAGATAAGCCTGGAACAGGAAAACTTCAGTATAAAAATCCAAAAATAACACAAATGTGAAATCCCAACATTATACATTCCAAGAGCTCCAAAAATGATTTCAAACTTAATTTTGAATCTAAACTTCTTAAAGAATAATAAAACACGACTTTAGGAGGCTTGGAATCTATTATAATTCTTTTTTTAAGACATTAAAATTGTGATTTTTAAAATGGTAATTTGGTTAAAGTGAATTAAAATTGCTTATGGCTAAGACAATAGTATGCCAATATGCTATTTATTTTAGACACCATTTACTTGGAAATAGTTTTATTCTTTAATTTTCAGCAAGATAAGAATAAGAACCCTAAACAAAAAAAAGATAAATCTGAAGTGGTCAAATCTTATATAAGTGAGTAAGACAGGATACTTACACCTCTATGTCATGATCATCTCAGGTTTTAAACATAATAGATATGCGGGAATATCTTGAGAAAAAATCGTTATCTTGCTTCTTAAACTTCATCTTTTCTATTCCAGTAACTTGCAACTCTAATAGTACTAAAAAAATTCACAGAACTTAACAGCTTAATAAAGTTTTAATGAGAGCTAGATGACCCATTTTATGGATTCAAAATGGATCAAAAAAGTTTAATTGGATTTATTAGTTTTTATTAGTTACCTTTTTTCACACCTAAAATGTTTTTTTAAATTACTGCTTTGATTGATACAGTTTCTGAGTATTCATCATGCTAAATTTGCATATGAAATATATAGTTACAAAACAATATTTTAATTGCTAAAAGTTGTCAAATATTAAAACTCAATATTTTAAACTTCAATTCGAGTTGAAAATCAGTGTCAGAGTATCAAATGACAAATTTTTTGACTAATTGCTGAATAGTGATGTTGTAGACATGCCTTGTTCTAGAAGATAGTCAAAGCTTAGTGATTGTGACAAAAGTAGCAGACTCAGAACTAATAGAACAAATCTTAGGTTCAGCAACAAAATGTTAGCTCGTTATTTTTCAAACAATCTGTTTTTAATCAAAGAATGTTAAACAAAAAAAAAAGTGTTTAATCTTACATTTAATAAAAAAAAGCCCATCCTGCCAATCATGGATCAACACAAAAGATGGAAAATGTTTCAAAGAACTTTAAAGTATTGCAAATGCATTTTTATCAGTTCCAAGTTTTCAGTAATATATTTCATTAACAAACTAAGCTACAATGTGAGTAGTAAGCATGTGGGGATAATTTCCTCTAAGGTCCCTTTTGTATGTGTGAGCTGTATATAGGGATGTTTTCAACTAAGGTCTCCTTTGTATGTATGAGCTGTATATAGGGATATTTTCACCTAAGGTTCTCCTTTGTATGTGTGAGCTGTATAATGACCAGTATTTTTATTCAACTCATATTTTGATTATGTGATTATAGTTATGGAAGATAGACTTTTATGATTGGATATTTACATAGTTATACTCATTGTTTGTTTTGTCAATCCTTGTAACAACAAACAAAACACCTAGCACAGTGGTGTACCTTCCAGTTTTTTCCCCGTTGTCCTGCGGGCAACTGAAATTGTTTTTTTTTCTTATTTGAGTCATTAGCTATGATAATCAGTAATCTGGTATAATAGTTATTTTGGCATTTTTTCTTAGGTGAAAACACTGAAGAAAAAAAGTTTAAACCTCTGACTACTAAAAAACGTCTAATAAGAAAAGGTTTGATTAAAAGAAAGTTAATTAAAAAAGTGAAAAGTTATAACCTGTTAAAAATTATTGTTACTTATTTTTCAAAGAGGCATTTGGTAAAGAGATATAAATACAACTTTTATGTTACTAAGAGATATTGGTAAAGAGATAACTATACAACTTTTAAAGGTTGTTGTTTATGTCATAATCAATATCTGTTTTGTGTCGGGTTTTTTTCAAATTGTCTGGTCGTCCTGCTGAGCTACTGACAGGCATTTTTTTAAATTTCAGTCGCCTTTGGAGAAAACAAGTTGTCCTGTACCACCGGATGACCATGAGGGTGCACCCCTGCTAGCATTTTTTTGAATTATTATTCAGATTCACTCCCAACAAAACCACAAGCAGCCACTAATAAGTTGGAAGTTACTAAAAAACAGCAAAGTAGAGTTAAAGAGCAAAGAAAGGGTTGACAGAAAATTTGAAAAGTTGTAGCCTGTATGTGTCAGGAAAACATGAAAATGGAAGAGAGTTCCAAAAGTTTGAGGTGCAGAGAGGTTCAAGTTTGGCAGATAAAGCAAGTCTATCTGCCAAGTCATAAACAATATTTTGGTAGATACAGCAAAAGCAATATCTTGGCAAGTAGAGCAAGTCTATCTTTTTTTTTTTTTTTTTTTATTTTAATTCACCTCCTCAAGGCCGAGAAGGCCACTACAGACGAGGAGGCTACTTATTCGTGGCTATAACCCTCTCTCAACTCTATAACTCCGAAACACGAACCTTGACGAACAAGGCCGCTGCGCGGAGAAACGAGTTGAGCGCGGTACTACCAGGGACGTGGTGGGGATCGAACTCGGAACCACTCGTTTATGAAGCGAGCGCTCTACCACTACACCACTACCGCATCTGTTAAATCAAAGCACATTGTATGTATACAATGCGTTTTCGGACCTTATCTAGAAGAGAAAGATCATCATTAGAAGAACATACATGGGCAAAAAAGAGATTTGTAGAGGTAAAGAATGGAATCAGGATTCAGAAAATAGCAAGCCCGATAAAGAAAAAGCAACCTTATGAGAGTCACTAGTTGGTTACTGAGCTCACACTGCATCAGAAATTTAAGCAAAACACAAACATACATAAAATATCTTTTAACTAAGTGAACACAGCGCCAGAGGTTTAGACAGAACACAAACATACATATATATATATATCTAAGACAGTTACAAGGCACCTCCAACTATATAAAAGACAAAAAAAAAATGTTATTTTATATTCCCTTATAACTGGCCTCTGATTGGACTAGACTTGATATAACACACAGCAGACTTACACATCATAGCAATCTATTTGTTTACATTACACACATGATAGATGTTGCCATTTGTCAATTTTTTTGAGTTATTAAATTTCAAATTTTATTTTATAAATTGTGTTATGGTCCAAGTTGCAATGATTATCCATTTTAAGAGCATTTTCTTTATTTGATGTTGCATAGACCTTTATGTTGTTTTTATTTATTATAGTTATTTTTTTACCATTAATTTTGTATACCATAAATTAATGGTGAATTAAAAAACCATTAATTTTGTATACCAAAAATCAATTGTGTGCAATCCACAATTCTATTATTTATCCAGTAGCAAAACATCAAGAAATACCAATTTACCCTATCAAACAATCAATATATTATCAACCCTTTCAGAATGAAAGACATTTTCCCAATTAATAGACAGCAGCATCTCATATAGAGTGAGTATAACAGGCGTATCAAAGAGGAGCTATTTTTAACAACTTCCTCTCTTAACAATAAAATCATCACAAACCTTTCCAACCATTTCCTCAATGGCCAAAACTAATTTCCCTATGGCCAAAACTTGTATTTCAGGTAGAGCCTGAAACATAAGTTTTAGCCATGGGGCTTGATTACAGCCTGGTTGGATAATCTATACCAATTAAAACCTATTTAGAGGCCATCAAGAAATTTAAAAGAAAAGTCTTTAATCAAGAAATCTCAGGCTGAACTTTCTTAGTTTCAATTTGGATTTCAATCTTCTTGTGTTACAGCTCACTTGTTAACTGTTGTTAATTACAGAAAGTTTTTATCATGTATTAGATTGTGGTGGCAAAATAAGGTCTCTTGCTCTTGACATATCAAAGGCCTTTAATAAAGTCTGGGATGCTCGTTTTCTCCATAATGACTAGGGCTGCCACAGAGGAGATATTCAATTAAGATAGATATACACTGTTTTTGAATTAGCTTTTCATCCTTTAAATCTTATATTTTGAAAAATTAACCAGACCTGCATGCTTTATGTGTGATTTAAATTTGTTCTTCAGGTCTTAAGATCGATCATAAGTGTTCCTTGATTTGCTCTCCGTCGGGTGCTTGATTTGCTCTCCGTCGGATGCTTGATTTGCAAAGACTCCGTCGGATGCTTGATTTGCAAAGACTCCGTCGGATGCTTGACATCAGAACCTTTATCTTGAAAATTTTTCTAATCTTGATTTTATGTCAATTTTTATAAAGATCTATTTTACAGTTGTTGTTTTCTGTGTTTTTTTGGTGTCCTATAGTTGTGTTATCTTTGGAGTGTTTTCAATGGATCAAGCTTGAAAAAAAGAACTAATAACACGTATTATGATCATATTTAATCATATAAATTTTTACAGCTGGTTCTTTCCAATATTGTTTTTTGGTTTCTTAGAGTTATTATTTGATCATTGGACTTTTTTGATGGGTGAAACATTAGAAGTTAAGCTAAAAACATAAAGTTATTATGAGATGTGTAAAAATATTTTATGTGTAAATTTAATGAAAAGAACTGCAAAAATTGTCCTGCAAAATTTGTTTTGTGGCCTTCTATTTTTTTCAACGACAATAAATGTATTTTATAAGTAAAGTCAAATCACTTTTGATTTTTTTTTAAAACTGTTTTTAGGGCGCTCACTCTGATTTTACAGGCATATACATTAAAGCGGTTATCAAAGGAAGTCTTGCTGATAAGGTATTTTTAATTATTTTTTATTAAAAAATTGAAATTAGACAACATTTAAATATTTAATTTAGACTGTATTTAAATATTTAAATCTAGATTGCATTTTAAAAAAATAATTAAAGAATAAAATAATAAAGAATGAAAATATAAAAAAATAAAAAACAAAATAATAATTAAAAAAAAAAGTACAGAAAAAAGAATAAAAAAATAAGAAGAAATAGTACATTTACAAAAAATAAAAAGTTTTTATTTTTAAATCAACTGAAACAAAATATAAAATAATAAGTGTTTTTTTAATTTTATGACAAAATTATTTTTAATTAAATAAGATAAAAAACAATCACACAGTAAAATTTTTGTAATTTTAAGTTATATATTTTAGAATATATTTTTTAGGATGGGAGAATTCATGCAGGTGATCAAATATTAAGTGTTAATGAAATTGGATTGGTTGATGTTACTCAAACTCAGTAATATATTTGAATTTTAGTAAAATTATATTTGAATTTTAGTAAAATTATATTTGAATTTTAGTAAAATTATATTTAAGTTTTAATGTTTTAAAAAAAAATCTTTCTCTGTAAAATGTCAGTTATATTACATAGTGTATTTTTTTTTTTTTTTGAATTACTCATTTTTAATACTTAGTTAGGCACATTCATCTTTTAATTAATTTTTTTTTTTTTCTGCAATTTTTTTGCAATTTTTTTACAAATCAAAAAAATAAACAAAATCTAGTATTAAATTGAAAGTTCAAAATTAAAATGATTTTTTTTTTTATCAATTTTCCTTAAAGAAATTATATTTGATTATATTACAAACAAATTTTACCTAAAATGTTTTTAGAGCTGCGCAAATCATGGGTAAAAGTGGCTCTATCATAACCATGGAAATTATTAAAGGTGCTGCTTTTTACCATGGTCTATCAGCTATTGTCGAAGATGAAGGTATATTAACAATGAACAGTTCTTTTTTTTTAATTTATTTAGCTTGATTTCAACTTAATTAAATTTGGTTACTTTTAATTTAAATATTTACTTATCAATGACTATAAATATTTCAACTCATTTTTGAAAGAAAATATTTGTGTAAAAAAGTGTTTGTGAAATAATTTATCATGTACACAATAGTTAAAGTTTTGTAATCATATCGATTAATGATATTTTTTTATATGTAATTCAAGTGCATAATACATATTATTTATTTTAGTTCCCAAAAATGTTGAAACAGTTGATGGTAACACAGTAAATAAACAAAGTAACGGAAATGCCAAGTTAACAAATGCAACCAATAACAGTAGTGTTGATAAAGAGGTACAAATTAAAGGTAATCCCAATGACATCAAACCTTTGCAAATGAATTCTGAAGTGAAAATTGAAACAAAACAAGAATCTGCATTGTATAATGAACTGAATTCTGAAATAAATGAAAAATTTAATGACTCAGATTTTGATGAAGAAGGAAATCTTCTTACAAAAGAGGAAAAAGAGAAACTTGCAAGACAAAAGCAAAGAGAACGCGAATACGAAGAACGTATTGCTAAATGGGAAGCAGAGCGTTTACAAAGAGAAGCAGAAGAAGAAATTGCAATGAAAGTTCAGCAGCAGAGAATGTATTACAATAATACTGAAGAAATGGAACAAGAGCATGAAGTACTAATTTTTTTGTAGTTTATCTTAAAAAAACTTAAGCACATCAATGTCTAAATGAGAACGGTATTAGTAATAGTCTATATATAGGTATATAACTATGCATCAATTCTCCTATTTGTCTTGAAATCAGTTATAAATGATTGAGCATTCTTTTATATACTTTTATTTAGGATATCTTCACTAAATCACCTTTTTTTTTTGTTCTTTAATTCTTATTCTCCTCCTTTCCAAGACTGCTTATATTAGATATTGAAATACTAAAGTTTCTCTGACTACCGAGATGTTGTTGTTGTTGGGAACTCAATGTTCATACTAAATCAAACTGAAAAGCTTAGAAGGGTTATCTTTAAAAAGAATTTTTTTTAAAAAAAAAGTCCTCCCTTACTCTCTTAAAGTGTTCCTCGTAATAAAATAACACCAGATTCAGAAATTTTTGGAATAAAAAATCATTTTAAGGGTTGCCCAAAAATTATTTTAAGGGTTTTGACCCTTGAATATTTAATGGTTCCCTAGTATTATTAATAAAAAAGATTTTCAAAAGTATGTTGTTTTGGGTCTCAAATGAATTATATAAAAATTTCAAAAATATTAAATTATTATTTAAAAATTTTTTTTGTGCACATAATATGACATTTTTTAACTAAAAATAAAAAGAACTAATTTTTTGATAATATTTTTTTTTTTTCAATATGTTTTTTATAAAATTATTTCTTTTGAAATTTTTATATAGTTTCACTTCATTTGAGACCCAGCATGACACCTCATGAAATATTTTTTATTCTAAAATTTTTAAATTGAGTGTTATTTTATTATATAGAACACTTTTAGCGGGTAAAAGCAGACTTTTCTCAAAATTTTTGTTTTTCTTAGTTTCTTACTTTGTTGACTTTGTAGTTCATTTTTCAGACAACTCTAGTCACTTACCTTTACTTCTTGATTTGTGTCTCTGACTCTAGCTTGTGCTCAGTTTCTTCTTGTTCTCCTGTAGGTGGTTTTTATCATGCTATGATCTCACTAAAACTTTTATCTTCTACTTCTACATCAGATTCACCCTATCATCATATTTCTTACTATCATCTTAAAGCTGACTGGAATTCTTTTTAACATTTTTTTTGTGATGGTTGTTGGAATTTAGTCTTTCTGCTGAAAGTTGCCTCTGTAACACAATCACTTGGGTTCAGGCAGGAATGAAAACTTTTATTTATTTTTGTCAGTTTTAAAGTCAAGCCTCGCTCTACCTTTTTTTTTTTTGTGCAACTGCTAATTCTATTCAATTCTTTTGATTTTTCCACAAGAACAGAAAGAAAACGCCTTAAAAGATTGCAAATTATATGAATCAGAAAAGCAAGATGAAGGAAGGAAATTTCAAAGAACTGATGTTCGAGGAAAAAAACTAGGCAAATAAAAATTTTTGGGCACTTAGGAAAAGTCACAGTAATTTAATTGAATGACAAGTAACACAAGAATTATTTTTAGTAGATGGCACAAGAGATGCTCTTTAGAGCACTATCCATTATAGTGTTTATAGAAAAGTGAAAGAAAAGCAACAATATGATGATGTGATAATGGTTGGAGTTTGGCTGCAAGAGCAGGTCCAACTATGTTTACAATGTGTTTTTACACCTTGTCTGAAAGAGAAAGGGCATCATTGGAAGATCCACCCCAGATATGGCAACAGTATTACATACAAGGACGAATTTGAGATTTATTGAATTAAAAAATAGAATCTTGAGTAAGAAAGGTTTGAGCACGATAAAGAGATGCAATCTTAGCAGATGTTAATTTTGCAATGGTTTTGATATATGGTTTCCAAGAAAGATTGGTTATAAGAGTTAATCTTAGAAGATGAAGGGTAGATTGGTAATGTACTCATCGAGTACATTACCGTTCATAAATATATGAAGATCTAGATTATTGTGATAAAGATTAGCTGAAAAAAATTGAGTTTTATCTGAAATAAAGTTCACCAGCGATTGTAAGCCCCATGCTGTAGCAGAAGTGAGATCCATTTCAAGTTCAAATGCCCCTCCAAGCAATCAGAGAGTGTTGGCTTCTTATCAAGACAAGAATAAATGGTAGTATCATCAGCAAACAAGTCCACCTAAGATGTAAGAATATGGTATACATTTACATTGTCTAGGCTTATCTTATTTGGTTCATTTGGATAATGTTGTTAAAATTTTAGAAATCACATTTAAATTATTTTTTTAAACAATTATAAATTTTTATTTTATAATCAAGATTAAAGAACTGTAACTTATTGTAATTTAGATTTGTTCTGAAATAACATGTGAATCGCCTCTTTCCCTTGAAATTTCTTACCGTTTGAATGTATTAACATAAAAATGTGGTTTCAAACATTCTAAAATTTTCTTTCTGAGGTTAAAGCAATAATTTCCACATACTATTGCTATTGAAGTTGTACCACATTTGATGAAATTTAGTGTTTTTTTTATCTTCATCATTTTAACACCACATGACAAGGGTTTGTAATGAAAAAGTTTGTAACATCACCATTGAATCTCGATAAATCATTTAATTTTGTTCCAACACTTAATTGTTACTATCGATTTCTTTTCTATTTAAAAATGCAAATCATTTTCAAAGGTAAAAAAGAAATCGATCAAACAGCTTCTATGGTTACCTAAAACTAATTTCTTTAGAGAAAACTTTAAAGACTTTTTTATTGAAGTGTATATATATATATATATATATATATATATATATATATATATATATATATATATATATATATATATATATATATATATATATATATATATATATATTTATATTATATATTTTTTTTTTTTTACAGATGCAAGTAGAGAATGAGTGCAATGAATTTAATATGAATTTTGAGGAAGAAGGCTATGATGATAATATGGCTAGATCTTATTATGAACATCAGTTAGATATTGAAAATAATCGTAGATGGATTACACAAGAGCAAAGGGAAAAGGAAGAGCAAAGGCGGCTACAATATGAGCAAGAGCAGATGCGAATTGAACAGGAAATTTTGCAACAAGAGATAGAAAAGGAGAGATTAGCTCAGGAACAATATATAAAACAAAAAATGATAGATAAACAAGAGCGTGAAAGAATTGAACAAGAGAAAGAACAACAGCGGCTAGAAGCTGAAAGAATTAAAAAGTATGAAGAAGAACAGGAACAAATTCGTATTAAGCGAGAACAAGATTACCAAAATGAACTTAGAGCACGAAAAGAACGTGAAAGAATTGAAAGAGAAAAAGAACAACAGCGGTTAGAAGCAGAAAAAAGAAGACAGCATGAAGAAGAACAAGAGAAGATTCGTTTAAAACAAGAACAAGAATATCAAAATGAGCTTAGAGCACAAAAAGAACGAGAAAGAATAGAAAAAGAAAAAGAGCAACAAAGATTAGAGGCTGAACGAAGAAAACAGTATGAAGAAGAGCAGGAAAAAATTCGCGTAAGACGAGAAGAAGAATACCAAAATGAGCTTAGAGCACAAAAAGAACGAGAAAGAATAGAAAAAGAGAGAGAACAGCAAAGATTAGAAGCTGAACGAAGAAAACAGCTTGAAGAACAAGAATACCAACTTAGAGCACAAAAGGAACGAATAAGATTAGAAAAGGAAAAAGAACAACAGCGTTTAGAAATGGAAATTAGAAAAAAGTATGAAGAAGAACAAGAAAAAGTTCGTGTTAAACGAGAACAAGAATATCAAAATGAACTTAGGGCTCAAAAAGAGCGTGAAAGAATTGAACAAGAGCGAGAACAACAGCGGCTAGAAGCTGAAAGAATTAAAAAGTATGAAGAAGAACAGGAACAGATTCGTATTAAGCGAGAACAAGATTACCAAAATGAACTTAGAGCACGAAAAGAACGTGAAAGAATTGAAAGAGAAAAAGAACAACAACGATTAGAAGCAGAAAAAAGAAGACAGTATGAAGAAGAGCAAGAGAAGATTCGTTTTAAGCAAGAACAAGAATACAAAAATAGGCTTAAGGCACAAAACGAACGTGAAAGAATAGAAAAAGAGCAATATAGATTAGAAGCTGAAAGAAGAAAACAGTATGAAGAAGAGCAGGAAAAAACTCGCGTAAGACAAGAACAAGAATACCAAAACGAGCTTAGAGCACAAAAAGAACGAGAAAAAATAGAAAAAGAAAAAAAGCAAGAAGAAGAAAAGAAAAGAAAGTTGGAAGAAGAAAGGAATGTCGGTAGTTATCAAAATTTAGTAGAAAAAATGAGAAAAGTAAAGTTAGAAGAAACTCCAAACAAAAGAACTCAAGAATCAAATGAGTTAGATAGAGAAATGGCAAATATTGATGACGCTTTAAGAGAAGCTGAACGTATAGCTGCAGAAATGGACTTTTTAATGTTTGAGGAAGAACAAAAGATTGAAGAAGACTCGATTAAGAAAAGGAAAGAAGAAACGTTTGATTGGGGAAAGTCAGATTTTAAGTCAGTACGTATTTTTTACTTCTTCTCTGACATGCTTAGTGTTTTTTATTTAGATTTTGAGATTAAAATTTAAAAACAGCAAAAAATAATAATTACTGTTTTAAAGATATATTATTGTATGTGTTTGTATACGGATCTTGGTGATTTTTTTAAACATTTTATCGTTAACTTTAGCGCGATGAACGCGACCGACATAAAATTGTTTCAGCCAAAAGTTCGATAGACTTTTTACCTCCTCCGCCTGAAGTAAGTTGTTTTACATTATTAATATATCGATCTATAATCAAAAAGGCAAAAGGTCACATTTTATATTTTTCAATATATAAGCAGCTAATTTTTTTGTGTGAACCAAAAGTAATCAATATTTGATTACAAATATAATTTTTTAATTTTTTTTTAATTTTTACTTTAAATTGAAATAAAAATGATTACCTTATTTTATTATCTTATTACGATATGACTTTTATGTTATGTTGTTGTGATGTCGTTTGATGTTTCGATCTCGTTTGCTTTTTTTTTAACGTCGTTTGTTTTTTTTAATTTGAAATGTTGATTGTAAATAAAATCAACACTTGAAATTAAATTTTTTTTCCAAATATTGAAATATTTCAAACTCTATTTTTGTTATTTTTTTTATTACTTCAACTTTTAAATGTATGGTTTTTTGACTTTTAAAATCAATTATGTTGTCAATATATTTAATAGGATTTATTATTTGTTTCGACTCCACAACAAAATCGCTACGAACCAAATCGTAGTACAATAGAAAATGATACAAGTCTCAAATCATTGAATAACAATATATTTGAAAAAATGGTCAATAAGCAGCAATCGGTGAAAGAACATGAAGAAGAAAAAAGTCCTTTAATTAAAAGAGTTAACGATCAATTCAAGTATGTTTATACTAACAACTTTAAAGTTACTATCATATTAAAGAGTGTAGACGGGGTGGTATTAGGTATTAGGATTAAACCTAAGGTGCGTTTTACAATAAGGACGTGTTATGTATTTAGGTAAAAAAATAAATTTTACTTAAGAAAAACAAAAAAGCTTCATAGCTTGCATACTTGTTAAGCAGAGATGCATCCCTTCAGTTTAATGATTTTTTTCATCATTAAATATTAAGTTCTGAAAACACTTTTTTTTTAATTTTCACCGTGATAAATATATACATATTTTTAAAATTGTTTTTGGTATTTATTTTATTTTTTTACTTTGTTTCATTTAATATGTTTTTACAACATTTTAACTTGCTTTCTTCTCAATGCAACTAAGGCATAGAACAAACAAACTCGTAAAAAAAAGCCGATAATTTAAAACAAATCCGATTGGTTGTTAGTGGGAAGCCAAAAACTTTTTATTTATTGGTATTTAATTTATGCAAACAAAGAATTCGAATTGAAAGTAATTTGTTTATAAAGTTTACTGCCTCTGTTTTTTATTGTTTACGCAAAAAAAAAATTTATTTCAAGATGTCCGAATAAGTCTCGAAAAAAGATACTAAATACCGAAAACAGTTTTTTAAATGGAGCTAAAAGTTATGATTATTTATGCAAAAATGACTTTGGTAGAAAAATTAACACTACCATAGGGGTTTCATATTGGCTATAGATAATTCATAGACCTATCTATAGCCATGCCCCAAGGTACTTTATGTTAAAAATTGCATCTTTTCTAAATAAAACTACGCTTGACGATTTGTTACTTTTACCAGATTATAACAGTGGTTCAAATAATCTTTCCATAGATACCAAATATGTCATACTTTTTGATGAAAAAACTTACATATATTGTAATTAATAAAACTTATATTTTTGTTCGGAAAAACGTGTACTAGGCCTTAGTTGCATTGCGTTGTCGGTTTGTTTATTTTGGTGTCCGCGAGCAAACACGAGCTCAGCAATAATAATAAAAGAAATCGTTAAAAAAGTAATTAGAACAAACCGCAATAGGCTTTAGCTCAGCGTGACTAAAAGTAGTCGTTAAGAAAAGTAATTAAAACAAACTTTAAACTAAACTACAATTTTTTAGCGTTTTAGTTTAGTGTAAATAAATGGAATTCCTGTTGAATAATAAAAAAATATATAAATTTTTATTTTTAAAAACAACGTTTTAAAAATGGACTAAAAAGTAAAAAATAACCTATTTCACGGGACCTAGGTATTTTGTACGTACACATCCTGAAATATCCATTAAAGTCAATAACTGGAAATGTTGGGCGCCAACAGGAACGAATTGTACTTAGTTGCCCAATATTTTTGGTCACAAAGTACTTGGGTCCCGTTAAATAGTTTATTTTTTACTTTTTAGTCCATTTTTAAAAAGTTTTTTTATATTTTTTTATTAGGTGTCACTCTTTTAATTGATTTTAACTTTATGAGTGGCACCTAACCTTATAAACTTATGATTGTAAATTTTCTATTTTAATGTTATTTTGCATGGATAAATATTTAAAGAAAATACTCATCAGGGTAAAAAAAAAACTGTTCATAATTGTTGCTTTGCCAAAGAAAGCTAATGGTATTTTTTTCTTGTTGGTATTTTTATTTCGATATTAATTTTTTTAAATTTCAAGCTTTATGATTCAAATAAATAAATTAAACTTATGGCAAACTCCAGTTTACGAATAAAAATAATATAAATAACCGCCCCGGTTTGGCAAATAAAAACTTTAAAATTAAATTGTTAAAATTGCCGCAGGTTTGAAATTATTTTAGTTTCAGGAAATGTGGACAAATAAAATTAAGTGGACTGTCTACTGTTATGAAACAAAACAAAAGAAGGGTTAGGTGTTTAGTGTTAGAATCTGAAACACACCAGTGTTGTCCGACTACTAGGTTTTATCTATAAGTTTTGAATACTTGTTGATGCGATATTTAATTTAGCAAAAATATATCCAGAAATGAGTTATTTGGCGCGCGCACACACAAGAAATGATGGCTTGCGTCATCAAACTCACCCTTTAATATGATGTTATATATGCGTCATCAAACTCACCCTTTAATATGATGTGTTATATACTTCGTGCTTACATTTGTTACTTATTTTCTTTTTTTGTTTGTTTGTACTTTTTATTTTTTTATTCCTAGAAGGAATATGTTGTACCTCTAAAGTAACTTTTAAATAAATTATTTTGTGGACCTTTTTTTTTTTTTTTTTTTTTTTGTATTTATTTGTCATTAATGTCTTTTTTTTATAGCGAAAATCGATTTGAAAAAAAGTCTCCTGCAGTAAAACCGAAGAATTATAAGCAAAATATTCAAACGTCTAATATTGATTCCCAAAAAAATAATATAAATAACCGCCCCGGTTTGGCTCCGAAATTTCCTTCTGTTTCGTCAAAAAGTCAAGATGGGGCTTCATCCGACGAGGATTTAGCACCACCACGCCCCCCTCCTCCTAGAAATGGTGCTAGCCCAATTTCACCTTTACAACAAACGATCCAAAAAGGTTCTAATCAAAAAAATGGACATCAAAATGTTTCTCTTGACAAATCTTTTAATATGCAGCCTGTTACTATTCTTATCAAAGATGGAGAACCCGAAGTTCTAAATATGAAATCTAAGCTAAAATTATTTAATGAATTTCAAAGTTAATTTGAAAATTATCATTCTCAATCTCATTCACTCAGCTTCATAAATTATGCACGTAAGCACAATCGTGTAATCGAAAATTTTTTTTGATTGATTTGTATAAATAATAATTTTGAAAGAATTTTTATTTATTTTTATATATAATTTTTTTAGTAAATAGTTTATATAATCTATTGTGAAATGCTTTTTTTAAAATAAAAAAAGTTGTTTGGATATATCGAGGTTTTCATTAGAAAAAATTTTCTTAATTAAAAGCTACTTAATGCCATAAATGTATAGTTTTGTAAATATTTCTGAATGTTTTTATCGTGGAGTATTTTTTTATTGTTTTAAGTTTTCATCTTAAAGTGTTTTTTGTTTTATTTAAACACGCGCGAAATTAAATGATTTTATGAAATTATAAATTTTTGAAAACGCGTGCCTGCTTAGTTGCTCTGAAGAGCAATTATGAAAATAGGTTGAGTTAAAATATTTCTTCAAAACTTGAGTATATAGTCGAAATAAATACATTTTAAAAACTATAAAAGGTCGTTTAAGAAAATTTTTTTAGTACAAAGTTTTCTATATCTATAAGGTGGATCCATGGTAAAAAAAAATAATTTGAAAATAATTTTTTGATTTTTAAGCAACAAAAATTGTATTTCTCTATCACTTTTTAGTCGAATTTTTGGATTATTCACTAATTTAGGAGCCATTATGAAAAGGCATAAAAATATAAAATGATCCTGCTTCAGGCACTTTATCAATGGGTTTTCTTCAATTTGTGATTTTTTTAGCTTGATATCATGAGTACTTTTAAGCATCAGTTGTTTTACATAACTCACTTTTTTTCTATTTTTATGCTGATTCAGCATTTTAAAACTGCTTTTTTTATTTTTTAAAAAGTTTTTATTATTACATTAACATTTATTGTTCAGATTTTAATTATAAAAAAATAAAATCATGAATATTAAAGATTTTAGTTTTTTTACCATGGATCCACCTTAATGATGTTTTTAATCCCACGCGCGCGCGTATGTATATGTATATATATATATATATATATATATATATATATATATATATATATATATATATATATATATATATATATATATATATATATATATATATATATATATATATATATATATATATATATATATATATATATATATATATGTATGCAGGGAGCTTCTAATAAAAAATAGTTCAAAAAATATTTAAAAGGTGGTACACCACCAAATATTTTCTGAAAATGGAGGGGAAAAAAAGTGAATATTTGATATTTAGCTCATTTGATAGACATTTTATTAAAGATTAGTAATATTAAATGTTTGTTTCCAACTTTTTTTTTATATACTTTCAATAAATCAACTAACTAAAAAAATTATATAGCAATGACAACAATATTTAAATTTCTTTTACGTTTTTCTTCGTTTTCAAGCATAATATCTTGTGGTTGTATTTGTAAACATATCTTCCCAGTGGGCATGGACGTGAAAAAAACGTCTTTAAAACGTCTTATACACGTTTTGTACGTCTTTTGAACGTTCAAAAGACGTCTTTTTTTGGTCCGGTGCCCACTGGGTTGTGAAACAGAAGTACAAACCACTTAGATTTTCAGGAAATGTTTAGCATATTATTTTCTAGGGAGTGGCACTTAAAATTTTTAAACTCTGCTCGAACCTTTTTTTTTTATTTTAGGCCTAAAAATATTTTATTACTTCATATTAAAAAGAAATTTAAATCAAGTAATAAAATTTTTTTTTATTACTTCATTAAAAAAATTTATATAATTTTTGATGTACTTTGAAAATCTTAAAATCCAAATGGATATACCTTATCTTACATGTCTTGAACATGTGTAAAAAGTTTAATGGGTATTTAATATATTTCAAGTTATCATGGATATTTAAGATATTACATGGATATTTGATATATTTCAAGTTAGTTATGTTTAAAATTGAGCCCTCAAAATGAATGTTTTTCGATATAAATCGACAAAAGTAAAATGAAGTATAAAATAGCATTCTAAAATTATGTAGTTTTTATTGCTATAAAATTTATCTTTTTTTTTAAGTTTGAACAATTTCAAATATTTCGTGGTGTAACACCTTAAAGGTTTAGTGGTTGCAGATACGTCTATATAAAAAATTAGGCTTTTACATGCTTTTTGGTTTATGGAATAACAATGATAAAAAAAATAACAATATTTCAAAAACATCGAATAATAACTTTTAAATATTCAATATAAAGTTTTACACACAAAATAACATGAATATTTTTTGTAAAAAATTGTGTCAATTCTTCTAATTTTTTTTTTTTTTTTACATGTTTATTTTACAATTACAAAGTACTTACAAGTAACAAATCACAGATTGGTGGTAAAGGTATACAAACATAAATATCATAAACATAAAGTTCGAAATATACGAAGTAAACAAAAATATAGTTGTCTACAACTCTGAGACACGATTAAACACCAATTACAACAATGTAGTAACGTGTACGTAAAAATAATCCGATAAATATATCTCTATATTGTTTCAGTTAAAATAAAAAATTACAATAAATATAAATAAATTAGCTGATTTTTCGGAGAAGTGTTTAGATGTTTGACTATAAGTTTATTTACCACATTTCAAACTGATGTTTGTGTATAAATATGATAAGAACGAAATTTGTGTAAGATTGATAAGAAGAATTACTTGTTAGTAGTTATAGAAAGCTCGCAGAAGACTTAAGTCAGTCTTGTCATTGAGTACCTTTTTCTGGACATGTAATACACATAAAAATCAGTTGCATACGTGGTATCTATGAATGTTGTACATATATACTTTCTTATTAATATTATTATTTTTATTATCGATTTGTATTAAAAGTTAGGCTACATATTTTTAATTTTTTTTTTATTAATATTTAAAAAAAATTCCTTATAGTTGTTTAATTTGACTGTTGTAGATTTCAGCTTTATTTTCAGAGAGTGTTCGTTGTTTAGGTTTAATATTGATTCGCTTCTGGAAACTAATTTGTTAAATATATAGGGACCATATGTAATTGAGAATTTTAGAGTCTTGTTGTTTCAAACGGTATCTTAAAGTTGCCTGTTGCTCTTGTATTGTATTTACTTATACTGTTATTAAAAAAGTGTGCTGTAAAATGTTCTGGAACCAGATTTAGATTATTTTCAAACATGAAAAGTTTATTTTAAAAAATAATTATTTGAAATATATTTAGTGCGTTCATTTGTTCCAATAAGGGTTGACTTATTTTTGTTGTATACTAGTTTTGAAGCGTGTTTTTGACGTAGGCAAAGTGGTTCTAATTTAGATTTGTGGGTACTGCCCCATGCTATATTGGCATACATCAGGTAGCTATGTATGAGTGAAAAGTAGACAAGTTTTAGACTTTTTTGTGACAAAAATGGTCTTGCTTTGTATAGTAAACCAATGTTCTTTGATATTTTTGTGTTAATGTAGTTTATGTGGGGTTTTCAGGAGATATGTTCGTCAATTAGAACTCCAAAAAACTTTGTATTCAGAACTCTTTTGATGGTTATATTTTCGATATTAAGTGTTGGCAGGTTCAGGGGTATTTTTTTAATTTGTTGATTAAAGTGAAATAGTATGTACTTAGTTTTTTCTATATTGAGTGACTATTTATTGGATTTAAACTATATATTAATTTTATTTAGTTCAGCATTTGTTTTTTCAAAAAGGTCTTCGGTTGTTTTTGCTGAGTAAAATAAGTTTGTGTCGTCAACAAACATTATAGCTTTAAAGATATTAGAGGCATTTGGAAGATCGTTTATATAATTAAGAATTATTATACTTATTAGAATACTTATAAAAATAATTATACTTAATATAGTTTCAACAGAGAAAGCACTTGATACATTTAATTAAAAGTTTATCTTTTTTAGATCATCTTTTTGTAAAATAACTATTAGAGGAGGTAGGCGAAAATCCATGCTCCTAACTTGTCCGCAGCATAGAGATTTTACCGTGTGCTTGTTATAAGATAACCCTGCGCTTGCCTGTTATAAAGCTAATATTGTTAATTGTTTTATAAAATTCACATACAAGCTAAGAAAAATTATATATGTTCCTTTACTATAAAACTATATTATATATATATATATATATATATATATATATATATATATACATATATATATATATATATATATATATATATATATATATATATATATATATATATATATATATATATATATATATATATATATATATATATATATATATATATATATATATATAAATAATAATAATAATAATAATAATATGGAGTATAATTGTCTAACCAATTCAGTGCGTATCACAATCACGGACGCGTTTCGCCTGTTGGAGCTCATCAGCGTAATGGTGTGGTGTTAGACAATGATACTCCGTATTATTATATATACAACAATTTCTGTACTAGTAGTTACCTTCAAGTGTAAAAAAATGTCACGCCCCTCGGCTGAAATGTTTTTTAATACAATATAGGATAGGATAGATAGGAATATAATATACTATACATATTACATATGGGCCAGAAAACATAAGTTAAAGAAGTCATAACCCTCTATATATATTTTATTATATTATTATATTATATATAATAAAATAGCATCTCACCAATTTATTGATGTAATCTATCTTGACTTTGCCAAAGCGTTTGACTCTGTACCTCACAACAGACTTTTGTTAAAATTAAGATCTTTCGGAATAAACGGCAAACTCCTACAATGGATTAAATCTTTTTTAGTGGGCAGAAAGCAACGTGTTACAATTAACAATACCAGCTCTGTATGGGTTGATGTTCTCAGTGGTGTTCCTCAAGGTTCTGTTCTCGGCCCGCTCCTCTTCATTCTCTACACAAATGATCTCGCAAAACTCACTGAAACTTCTGAGATATTTGCCGATGATACTAAACTTTTTTCTAAAACCTTATCGCAACCTAATTTTGTTGATCTGCAGGATCGTCTACGCTTGGTATACGAGTGGTCAAACACTTGGTTACTTAAGCTAAACACTTCAAAATGCTGCGTCATTCATTACGGTCGAAACAACCCCCATTACAATTACTTTCTTCAAAATAACCAAGGAATCAACCAATCTCTAAGAAGCTCTACTAAAGAACGTGATTTAGG